TTCAATATCCTGCCAGGGCAAGGTAAACAAAGGGTCTTTGCCCTGTAAACCCCTGTCTTTGTTGGCTTCCTGTAGCTGCAGCTCCCTGACTCTGGCTGGGGAAGGAAACAGTAAAAAAGTTCTTGCAGAGCCCCTGAATGGGAGCATTTTACATCTCTGGGTTTGCAGCAGGAAAACCAAGCTTAGGGTCACCTCTGTAGAGCCCACACTGAGGCAGTGATTGCTTCAGGACCAAGAACCTCCATTGCTTTTTCCAGCTATTTCCAGGTTAACTTGAGACAGCACTGGCCCAGTCCAGAAGGCCAGGTGACAGTCTCCCTTCCCAGTCTTTCCCTTCCCCAGGCATACAAGCTTTCGGCAGAGCACTCCTGTGCAGACACAGTGCTCGTCCTGGGCAAACACCAGGAAGATTTCCTGATTCTGAGGTTTAATTTTCTGGAGCACTCAGGAAGCCAGAGTGGAAAGAAATTTGAAGGCCCAGGGAGTTTGCTGGCAGAGCTCTTTGCTTCTCGCAGAGAGGTGGGAATAATCTCGTGGGCCAGGGGCAGCACCTCTGTCTTTTGACCTGGGATGTAGCTGAGCTGTGAGGGATCAGGAGGTGATAGAGCTCTCAAATCACTACCGTGGGCACAGAGCCAGGTGACTCACCCATTGGGTTCTGTGCCCTCCTGACCTGTCCATGCTGTTGAATTCAGTCTGTCCCAGCTGAACATCCAGCCCAGACGACTGAGACTCTTCCCTCTTATTCCTCCTTAGCTAATGAGCTGTGGGGCTAATGAGCTTGAAGGTACTTTGCTCCAAATGGAGCAAGATGTTGCTGTGTGGCTCAGAGCACAGCTCTGCTGGCCCTTGCAGACATCAGCGTGCCGTGTCTCAAGCCCTGTGGCTGCACTTGGCAGGCTGGTGAGCCAGAGGGTTGGGGAGAGGGGTGTCAGCAGCCCCAAACCAGCAGCAGCCTCCCGGGAAGGGGCAGGAAGGGCTGAGTTCCTCATTCCCCCCCTGAACTGGCAGCTCGCGCCGAGCATTGTAGCCGAGCGTCTTTGCAGCATTTTATGGGGCATAATCCGTTGTCATCGAAGCCGATGGCGAATTCCGTACTTTCTGCAGCTGACGTTAAATGGGTCTTTTGAAGGCTGTAATTTCTCGTTTAACCGATGCCAGTTTCGAATACTTTGTGCTAGGGAATAACCCCTGAGTGCCAAATAAAATACAGTGGAAGTCTGTGGCATGTTTTTCAGCGTATTGTTAGTTACAGCCCTCCTGACAGAGCACATTCTATGCCGAAGATAAATGCTTGGGAGCCTCTTGCCAATTTATGTCCGAAAGGGCTTTTCTTGGATGTCCTCTTCTCTGTGGAAAATGCTTTTCTGTTTTTCCAGCAAACATTTAATGAGCTGCGCTTAAAAGAAAAAGAGGACCTATTTCAGGACCAGACTGTTCTGCTTTAGTTCTCTCCGGGCTGGTTGTGGCTCTTTGGGTGCTCTGATCTTCATTACACCACACTGCATGGCAGTGGTCTTTGCGTAGCAACATGCATGCGCCAGGGCCTGCATGAGGGATGTTTCCATCCACCCATCACCACTCTGGAGTTGTCCCTTCTGCCCAAAGTTGAAGGATATTCCCAACTGACCCATCTCAGAAAATCCAGGCTCCAGCCAGGCTGCAGGGACATTTGGCATACTAAGGCACTGGATTTCCATACTGGGATTTCAGTCTTTCCATTTTAATTCAGTTTCTGTGACCAAGGAGGATCTTGGAGAGCTGTTGTGAGTGGCCCGGGGCCAGTCAGAGAGGTGTGCCTGCAGGGATGCAGGCTGGCAGTAGCCCATGGCCAGGGGCTTTGCATCTGGCTGTTCACCAGTCCTGGCTTGTCATTGATGTCAGCACTTCCAGCATGTGGTTAGGACCTGAGGCTGGCAGGAGAGGACCTTCAGCCTGAGCCGTGGTGTCCATCCCTGGTACCTCTCTCTGGGGGATGAATGGGAGGCGAGGAGGTGGGAAGCCACACCTGAGGAGGGGTCACCTGCTTGCTCACTAATGCACTTACTCCTGTGACCAAAGGGGTTGGCAGAGAATTCCTAAGTGAACTTGAAGGCTCTCAAGGTTTCTCTGAGCAGCCAAGAGCAGCTGACCTCCCTTAGGGACAGGGTGATTTCAGAAGTCCCCTCAAGGGATGCCTTTGGTGGACTAGAGTGGAAAGCTCATCCCACAGATGCTTCTGTCTAAAGTGATGGTTTGGTAGGTTGATGAGCCCGAGGGAGCAGCAGTGGGATGATCTGGGGCCCATGCAGGTGATGTTCAGTGCTCACCCCTGTCACACGCCATGTCTGAGCTTGAGCTTCAGGAGCTGTGCACTGCCTTGGCCTGAGGAACAACACAGGGACATGGTGGTGCCCATCAGCTGTTGAGGTGCCATCAAACCTTTATATGGAGCCCTGATAACCTGAAATGAGTCCATCTGCCTTCATTTGTGATTCAAAACTGACAGTTTTCTGTAAAGGATTAAGAGCAGTGCCAGCATTGATGTGGAGCTTCACTGTTAGCACTGATGATGGCTAGGAAATGTGGTCTGCAGTACTCAGAAACACACCAGCTAGCATTTGCATATGCAACTGAAAGAAAGTAGCTGCTGTGTACCTTTATGTCATATACTGGAAGTGTTTTAATTACTTGCTGATAATTTATTCTCTGTGCTGTGAAACTCAACAGCGTGAATGGCACCACTGTAACGTGAACGCATCCCTCTTCTGGTTTATTTTGAAGCAATCTGCTTTTTGTCTGCTGCCCTATAAGTACAGCACCAGTCGGTGTGTTAGGAGCAGAGGGAGCAGCACAGCATGTCCTCCAAGGGTGGGATGTCTGAACAGATGAGTGAGGCAAAGCGGGGAAGGAAATGGAGGCACCCAGGAGCAGACTGGCTTGCTCACAGTCTTAGAAAGCTGGAGCTGGGGAGTTTCCTGGCTACCAAATCCCACCCTGCTCCTCTGTCTGCTGTCCCCAACTTTGCTCTTGTGCTGGTTTTGTTTCCATCTCCCAAAGCTATTCCCCCAAATACAGCTTCACCAAGAGCTGGGAGTGGGCCCCTGAGACACTAGTTTGGCAGAAACTCGTTAGTCCACCTTTAACCCAGGGCAGGATTGAATTTGCAGATGCTGTTCCACCTATGCCAGTCCTGACCTACATTCTTCTAGCTCATTTTAAGGACCTCTGATGATGGAAAAATCTGTATAATTCAGGTTAATGATCCCCATGAACTTGAACCTGATCTCAGGGAGGACTTTGATCTGGAACAGAAGCCTTCACTCTGTGATACATCCAGAGAGGGACTGGAGAGGGAGGGCTTCAAACCTACACTTGCATACTGGGTTGATGTGCTCCTGAGGCCTGCGTGCTTTCTCTAAACATCCTCCAACATTGTTTTTCTAGTGAAAAGCATCACCTGGCTCCCATAGGTTTTGCTCAATAGTGTTTTAATATTTTGCAAACTCGTTTTCCTCCCCACGTTTCCCATTGCAAATTTCATATTTAAATATCAGTGTCTTTTGGCTTAAAAATACCTTGTACTCGACTTACTTTATTTTTATTTTTACTTAGTAAAAATGGACAACATGAAAAAAAACCAGCAAATTATTTTGCCAGAGGGTTTATAAAAATTATAAGATGTTTTTCTAGGGGGAAAAAAAAAATCTGTTTAAAATATTCTTATTAAGTATAATTGACATTTCTGGACATGACTGACACTTAGGAAGGTTGAAAAAATGCCCATGCTCACGGGCTGGGGGACAGGAATTTGCTATATTTGACATGCTGTGTACAAGAAGGATGCAGCACTGCAAGCCTGGCGGTGCAGCCCTGCCAATGTGTCTAGACAGCCCATCTCCACGGGGGAGAAGGAAGCTCATTTCTTGGACCTGCTCCATCCGTGGCTGTTCCGATGAGACAAGACCACTTACTGGTCTCCTTTATTAATGGAGACTTTGCATCCAAGCTTTGGGGTTGTGCTGGGTTTGCTCAGTTATTGTTGTGTGGGGACTGGTTGTCTGAACAAACTGATTTGGGTGGTTGGGGCCAAGGCAGAGCATGGGTGCATAGTCCTGTTTCTCCAAATGTGCTACCTTGGGTGAGCCTTCATACCTTTTGCTAGTTTTGAGGTGCACCTCTGTTTGGTGAGGATGTGCCTAATCTGGCAGTGGATTTAATTCTTTAGATAGAGCCTTTAAAAAGCCTTAAATTCTGTTAAATTGTGCTAGAATGACAGTATTCGTGCTCGCTGTGCCAGCTCTGCCCCAGAGCTGAGGTACCCCATGTCTCCATACACACCCCCTAATTGCCTGATCCTCCAGGCTGGAGCATCTGACATTTCAGCCAGATCAAGAGCAGCAATAAGTAGATATTCTATAATATATTCATCACCTGGAGGCAAATATTATTTCTCTGTATTAGGGATTGTTGTTTCCAACATATCTCGTTTGCCCCAATTCGCAGCAGCCCTTGACAATCATTATTCTGCCTCCTCTGCTGGGAATTGTGCTTTTCAAACTGCAGTGAACTTTGTGGAAATACAGAGGTTTCCATTTTTCAGCCTTTTGATTTAAAATCTCTAGATGATTGTTCAACTCTGGCAGGGAACCATTCAAAATACATTCCAAAATATTCATCATTCCAGCAGGCTAAGAAACATAAGATGTAGCAATTTATTAGCTAATGTGAAATGCATTCGCCGTCCAGAAGAGGCAAAGGATGGAGGTGGATCTGAGCCTGATTTCCCTTCACATCCCACAGAGCTGGGGTGCGGAGCACATTGGAGCCTGTGGTCCAACCCATATACCCTCCTAATTTGCTGAATGTCCTTGTGTCTAGCAAAAAGCCTTCAGAGCCCAGGAGCAGCCTTGTTAACTCTCCCATGGCCTTAGAAGAACAAGTTTTCAGTATGGGCCTGGGAAGCAGACAGTTTTTTTGCAGTGGCCCTGCATGCTTTAATCCATTTGCCTCCCGTAGCCATGTGGAATGTGAAGGTCCTTTATCCCCCACTCAAGAAACACGTTCCTGGTTGGGATGCTCAGCCCCTGGAAGAGGCAGGTGGGCTGGATGCTGACAGCTGAGCTCAAGTTCTGTTATTTCTGGATCTCGGCTGCCATCGTTTCTCCAGTTGTGATCCAGAGTGACCCATAAAATGTATTGGTGGACAAAATCCGGATTTCTAAGCACAGTTCTGCAGCGGCTGCAGTCCTTTTTGCTTGGTAGAGGCGATGGCAGAGGTGGTGTGATTTGGTTGAAACACATTTTTTCTTGGATGCTAATGGAAGGGGAGCACACAGCCTTTGGAGAGCTGGTTTTGATGTTCTTGTTGTTGTTTGTGCTTCCCCTTCTCCTGGCCCGTGGCACCCCATGGGCCTGGCGTGGTTGTTCTCTGCCCATTCAGTCTGCAATCCTGGATGTTTCAAAAAACAGATGAAATATCCATGGAGAACAATGTTCCTGCCTACTGGTAGGGCCAGCTGGCGTGTGCATCCCACTGGTCACCGTCTGTCTGTTCGCCTGGATCCCATGTACCAAAAAAACATCCAAATGAATTTCCAGATCCAGTTGGGATGGGGCTGGTTTAATAATGGCACTTCTCAGCAGCACAGGGGGCCTCTGCGGGGACCTGAACAAGGGGAGACATTCATGAAGCTGGTCAGCTTGACTCAGTCTTTCCTGGTGTGGGCAGGAGATTGCTGGGTAACGTTTGCAGACTCTTGCAGCTGCCACAGCATTTGGAAATGAGCCACTTGAAAGGCCCGAAATGCCAAGTGGTTCATCTGCAACACATATATGGACTGAAAAAAATTCCCTCCTAAAGCAGCCCTTTTCTTGGCTAAACTCTTTTTTTTCTTTTTTTTTTCTTTTTTTCTTACCTGCTTCTTGCATAAGTATTTCTAGTTTTCCCTATTAGAACATTTCACTAGCTGAAGTTTGTGGGGATTTTTTGCCACATTTCTAAATACAAGAGAAAATATAAAAGCAGTGTTGCCCAGGCTTCAGGTGGGTGTGCAGTGGGAGGGGGACTGCAGGGTCTCTGCTTCATGGCTTCTGGCCTGTGCATCCTTTTGTATGAACACTAAGAGGGAGGCTCAGCCTTCTGAACCTCTAGCAGTCAGGAGATGGTGGAAGTGCTTTCTGTCTGTTCTGGTTTCAAGGACTACTTTTGACGTCTAGAGAGACCTTGAAAATACTGGGGTGTGCCATCCTGAAGGGATCCCATGGAGCTTGCTGGGATATGAGTGTGCAAAGAAGATCAATAACGTGCCTTGACAATTAGGCAAAGACAGTTTTTCCACTGTCTTTGAGGCAGCTGGTGGTATCCAGGCGGATGTGGATACTGGCCTTCCTGGTGCACAAGGCTGCTCCTGCATGGAAGTCCTAGTAACACTGTCGAGCTAAGAGGAGTGCTGGCTCTAAAGAAGGATGTTCTCTGCCGTGACACTGGTTGGGATCTGCTCCGTGTGCACCTTGGGATTAAAAAGGGCAGCAAGTTGCCTCTTCAAGCCTTTGCAGAAAGGGCACTGGAGAGGAGAAGGAATGAGCTAGGGCAGGGAGGGGGCCAAGAGCATAGAAAGGCAGCTTTGGAAACAAGAAAATACCAAAGGAGCAGGGCGGAGGTTAGGAAGTTTGATCTTGGCTGCATGAATGTTGTTCCTAAGATGAAACATCAGGACACATGGCATGGGAAGGGGAGCTGATGGGAAGAGGACGTGGGCGTTGGAAGTCATACCCCTGAGCTTGCAAAGCCTTGACTCTACACACGTTCAGTGCTGCCAAGCGTGCTGATCCTGAGTCTTACCCAAGAACGAGGAAGGGGCTGTGAAGGCTGAGGTGCTCCAGCTCTCCAGGGAAGGTCTGGTGGTCAAGCTGGCACCAACAGCTGGGTGGCATTGCAGAGTAGTGCTGTGCTGGGAAGCACAGGCCCTTGCTGGATGTGACCCCTTTGGGTAGGATGGTGGGGTTTGGCTGGCAGAGCTGTGCGATTGCACTTCTGCTCCTCTCCCAGGGATCCAATGCTATTGTGGCATCAGGCTTCCCTGATGAGGGACTGGGGGGTACTGCAGCCCCCTTGGATCCCAAGCCTGGTAAATTGACCCTGCTGGATCACTGCCACGGTCTGGTGGTTTGGTCTCTTTGTCAGTTACAAAGTGCAGTCTCACAGAACATGATTTGCCGCTGGCAGGCTGTTCAAATATGTGTTTGCTTTTGATTAATTTTTTTTTTTAATTAATTTTCCAAGGATCAATGTGGTAATGCATATAAAAATTACAATATGTAAAACAAAGTATAAAAGCATACAAGGAATTCCAAACACATAACATACTGTGCCTTGGAGCTTATGAGATCCATACAGCACTTATTGTATTATGGGAACGCTCTGACCCCAAGACCCAGCAGAAAGGCTTGTTAGAAGAGCAGGACTCAGCCATGTGCCTTATGAGCTGTAGGATACCCAGAAGGAAAACCCAAGCAAATTTATAGCAGAACTCAGACTGGTCTGTGGGATCTAGGGAGACTCTCAGTGGCTTCGTCCCAATTTTTGGAGGATATAATTTTGGCCCCACAAAGTATACTTTTGCTGCTGCAAGTATTGTTCTCCCAGTAATTAATAATGTCATGTCTTTTCAGGGAGACTCTCTGGATTTTCATTGGATTGTGATTATTTTTTTTCCCAAACATCATTTCTTCTGTCGACTCCACAACTGATAATGTTAACGTGGTTAGGGAGGACAAACAGCCCATGTGCTCTGCAGGTTCCCACCAGGTGAGAGGCAGAGCATCAGAACTGAAACCACCCTGAAAACAAGTTTTGTCATGTATTTGCCATAGGAGAGGGCTCTTAGCTGCTAGGATGGAGCTCATGCTGCCCTTTCTGTGGCCCAGACACATTCTGTGGAATTTGAAAATCCCAAGACCTCATTCCTGGTGGGCAAGAGCCATCGGTCTATGCTGTGCCTTGAAACCCACCTGGAAATGTCCCTTTGGCCATGGGGGGGGGTCCTTCTGCATGAGCAGAGGACAACAGGGGTTTCACCATGGGTGCTGGTCAAGCCGTGGTTGAGCAGGCAGTGAGTTCCCACAGTCTGGCAGGCAGAGCCCAGTGCAGTGGAGGCCGTGGGCACACTGTCCATGCACAAGCTATTCACAGCTCTGTAATGATACGTCATTGTTTGGATGTGGCCAGCTAGAAATTCCCCTGATAGGCTCCACATTGCAGATACTTGGGAGAGGAACTGCTGGAGACCCCAAGTGGCACTGAAAACGTGCAGGCTTTTCTATGTCATACTAAAACTCAGTTTTTGCATGAAAAATTCAGTGTCACCTCTCTAAAATTCCATGCTGCCTGCACAAAACAGCTTGGTTTTTTGTGTGCAACCTGATTATGAGAGAATCAAAAATGAAGGCTTTTAAAAGAAATACAGCATCTGTTTCTTTATGGCATTCATTGGGGTTTTTTTCTGTATTCCTGGTGATCCTAACAAGGCCGGAACTTGAGATACTTGAATTTTCTTTGTAACTGAAATAATTTGAGATCTTGTGCACAGATTGTGCAGAAGAAAAAAAGAACACAATATATATATAGCGAAGGTTAGAAAAAAACCACAGCAATTAAAGAATCTCCATAGTCTGACCTATATCTCAAGTACACACCCTCTGTCACTGGGATTGTACAGCTGGGCTGGGTATCACTGCTTGTCAGGGCTGGCTTTGCTGGGTGATTTAATATAGGCAGCTTTTACCTTAAAGAAATGAGCTTTCTTTTAAGTGTCATCTGCGTTCCCTGTCACCTACATTTGTGATGTCTGGCGCAGGGTGATTTGTGTACCCTGAGGTTAAAACTTACCTCCGTTTGAAAATGCTTCTTGCGCATGGAAATACGTATAAACTGGAGTTTGTGCTCTCCTGGGAGCTTTTAGACAGATACTCCAGGCAGCTCTGAGCATGGAATGTTTGTGTGGGTCTCCTGGCTCGTTTTCTGTCCCTGCTCACATCTGGTGTAGCTGCAGCTGGGCAAAGGGCTCCCGCTGCCCAGAGGAGTGGGTCCTTCTAGGCGATGCTCAGGAGGGGAAGCTGCAAAACCAGCAAGGGACTAGCCTTCCAGCCTGGACAAAGATGTGGAAAAACAGCTGGGAGAAAATAGACATGCGAGGCTTTTCCCTGTTTTCTGCCAGTGTAGTACTTTCAGGCTGGAAAGTGGCTTTTTCAGGTTGAGATTGTCTTGTGTAGGGTGTCCCTGGCTCTGGCGGGGCTGGGCGCTGGGCTCTGTTGGTGTCTGGTGGCTGTTCCTTGGCAGGGGCTGATCTTGTTTTTGCATGAGGGGTGGTGGTGGGACCCCCTACCTGTGGGTAGCCCCACTCTCCAGCACACCAGTTTATTTCCAGCATCCCACACGAGTGGAAAATCACGCATGAGAACCATCTCAGGGGCAGGGCTTTGTTATCTGTTGGATTTTGAATGTGCCTGTCCCTGCTTCCCACTCCCCTTCCTGGCACCTTGTTTTAGCTTCGATTAAATCTTTTTGGTTTTGTTTTTTTCAGGGTTTTTAAAAATTATTTAAATTGACAGACCTGCCCTGTATCCAAAGAGTTGCAGTATTTTGGAGGGATATAATGAATTGAAAGCAAAGCAGAGCATGAATAAAACTGAAACATGAGCCTGCAAAGGGCTGTAACTGTCTGGATGGCTGGTGTTGGAGAGAAGTCTGCCTGGAGCCAAGGGGGACCCACAGAAATATTTCTACTCAAGATTCTTAAAACTTAACTTTAAACCAAGTGAAAATAATTTTCCTCTACCTTTCTAGTCTCCCTTTTTCTTTCTTTCCTCACCACGCTGAATAAAACTTGCTGGGTTTAATTTAAAAGAGTATTTAATTGCTGGGCTTTGAGTTTCTGGATTGTTTTTTCCCCTGTGAAATAGTTTTTGTTTTTTCTTTAATCCATGTTCAATCTTCAACAGTAACTTCTCATTTCGTAGGTTGTGATTATAGTGTCATTCCTTATTCTTTTCCTGAAATCCTTTCTCAGTTTATATAACTGATGTGACAAATCTTTCCTTCCTTACCATGTATAATATTGTGGTTACATATCTCTGTCCCTCACTTAATTAGATCCAATTGTTTACTTTCAATTCTGATCCAATTAATGTACTATGACAGCTGGTTCTGGACTTAATAGAACTGGTTAAAACTTTTCAAAACTGCCCACACAATGTAAATCCCATCTGGAAATTAGTTTTTGTGCTGAGCTGGAATGAAAGCAAGTATGCACAAGCATTCCATTTTATTATTATTATTAATATAAATAATATATATTATTAATAATATAATATATTATTATTTTTATTATATTTTCAGTGTGGGTTCCCAACAGGAGCTGTCTTACAGATAGTCACAGACACTTGGACAGCAATAAGGAGCTTATATCACAGTGTCTTCAGGTGTGGATCTGCCTCGTTCCAAGGGGAGACATGATGAGCAAGGGAGAAAGGATAGGACACTTCATATGGTATCACTTAGGAGCAATTAAAAATGCTTTGGTGCATCCTAGAAGCCTGTTTGTGTATGACACCAGCATTTGCGTGTCACGGGTGAACGTGGAATTAACACAGGAAAACACAAATGTGGAATCAGGAAACAAAATCCCCCAACCCAACATGAAAGGTTGGGATTTTGAAATTAAATTCCCAGATTTTCCAGCATTGGGTTCCTGAGAGGAGAACGTGCGTTTCAGTCTCTCTGGAGGACACGTTTGCAAGCAGCTCAGCTTTTGAGAACGCTGCTTGTAGTAAAATATTTCTGAGTGAAAGAATGTTAATTAAAGGCTTCTGACCCATCTAAAAACCTTTAGAGCTGTTTTCCTCTTCTCGCTATTTCTGCTGACTCCAGTCACTGGTGCTGTCAACACTGTTTAGGAATACCATTTTTCAGTGTTCAGTGTTGTTTCCTGATAAAGAAATAATGGCAGGGAAAAAAATAATGCCCTGCTGACATGTTGAAGGCTGCCAGTGACTGCTGTGAGCAAGGTGACATTTGCAGATACCTGGGGTTTAGGTGTCTGCAGTCCCTGGTTAGCAGTTTGTAATCAACATATGGGATGTCTGCAGGGCAGAATACAAGGAGCCACCAACCCAGCAGTGCTCTGGGCTAGTACATCTGCCTGTTGTTTTTTTTTCCTGCTCCCCAGGTGACTCCTGTAGACATTTGGATCTAGCTGTGTTGTGCAGTTCCAGAGGTGCAGTGAAAGGAGATCTCAAAATCCCAATTCCCCTGTCACAGGTTGTGCTTGGCTGTCGAGCCACCTCCATCCAGCTACCTCCTGGAAAAGGGGGTGACTCGCATCCCTGCTCCGTGCCAGCTGGTGCTGGAGGTGCCTTGGCCAGCGGTGACCCCACCGTGAGTCACTGCAACGAGGCCACTGCCTGCAGCTTCCCTTCCCTTGGCCTGGCTGGTTTTGAGTCCTCTAATGAGGAGGTGAGCTGTGAATCACCGGTGTCTCGCTTTACACTGGGAGGAAACCAGGCAAATTGTGTTAACGTGCTTGGCAGGAGGGATTCTTGTTCTCCAGCCTTTCACAGGCTTTGGCCCTTCGTGCTCCCAAGAGCGATGTGCTCACCCTTCCTTATGCGTAACCGTCACACAGGATCTGAGCAATGGCCAGACAGCCTTGGGCTTGAGCTCCCTCCAGCCAAGTCTCATCTTCTGAGCAGGAACTGATGCTTCAAAGGCCTGGAGGGGATCCCCAAGGGGTCCCAAAGGCTTTTATTGATGTGTTCCTCCAGTCTGCATAGGCAGGGTTTAGATGAGGAAACAGCATCAGATGGATAACACAGAAGGAGGCCAGACATGGTGTTGATGTTGGCCTCTACAGCAGCTGGTCTTGCAGTGTCTTTGCCATTCAAAGGGACGATTGTGCCCTGAGGCTTGTTCTTTGCTGTTTGCTGTGTTGTGTGGTGCACAGCAGCACAACTTCCTTGAGGCTTTTCCAGGGGGAAGTCACTGACTCTTTTTGTACAGGCTTTGATGAGGGCTCGAGAGAGGAACACGCAGGACTTTTCTTCTTCTTTTTGTGGGACAGGCCTTATGATAATTCTCAGCCCCTGAGCAAGTGGAAATGTGTGCATGACCTTTTGCACAAGCAAAAGCTAAATCCCATCCCTGTGCCTCACAGCTTCACTTCCCACCACCTGAGCAGGAAGGAGTCACCTGTGTTTTGATGTCCCGGGATTCCTACATGTTTGCTTTCTTGCTCATCCCTGCCTTTGCAAGTCCCTTCCTACTTCAGCTTTAGGATTAATCTGGTCTCCATACTCTTCCTCTCAGATACACAAAAACCTAGAGGATATTTTTGCACCCAGGAATCCCCAGGCTGGAAGGGGGTCTCCTGGGGATCATCAGGCTGTTGGAGAAGGGCTGGGGACAGAGGAGCTGTAAACCAGCAGTAATTTGAAAATCATACTTCCATTTAAGAGGAACGTCCTTTTGTTCCCAAATGGATGGGCCTCGCTCCAAAGGCGTTCAGGTGCAGTAACTGTTACCAGATGGGCTGTGAAAAGCAGCACAAGCAGGTGGTGAGGACAACCACCACAGCCTTTGTCAGCTTCTCCCTGTGCCTTACATACCCCCTTGAGAACAGAGGGATGAGCTGTCATATTTCTATATGGCAAAAGGAATGAGTGTCAGGGGGATAATCTGTAACTGTATAAAGCAGGTCAAGCCCTTGGACTCTCAGTGGTGAGACTGTCATCTGGGCCAAGGTGTGCAGTGATTACCTTAACATACAGTTTGCTAGGATCTGTGTCTTTATAGATGCAATGATCAATATATTTTAATGCACACTGACATGTATATTGGCTCAGATCCTCCCCTACTGTTCCTCCATAGAGGACAGTGGGACGGTGCTAACATTGCCCACCTGGGGCTCTGCTGGGTGTGCTTGGGAGTGTTGAAGGCTGAGGGTGAGAAGCCTTGATGGTTTTGGTGGGATCCCACAGACACAGGAGCACTTGGAGAGGGCCAAGCACAAGGTGATGGCATTCCAGCCCTGCAGCTGGAGCAGGGCTGTTCTATGGAGGCAGCAGGGGCCTCTGGCTCCTGCAGGCTGCTGCCTTGCTCTCCTCTTCCTTCTGTGTGGCTTCTCATGGAAAACTACACGTTTGCTGTGCTATGACTGGTGTGATGAGTGAACGTACTTTAGGACAGGCAGGGTAGACACAAAACCAGTGTCACAGCCTCCAGCTTGTGTTAATAAAGAGCATTCAAACCCCTGGAGCCAACCCTCACTGCTTGCTGGTACCTGCAAGTGCCCATGCTATGACAGCTCCATCACTGCTGCTACACTGGCATGTGCAACAGCATTGGAAAGAGGAGGGATGGTGCAGAGCAGATCCTTGCTAAGAAAAGCCATTTCATAGTTATCACTGATATTGCTTCAGTGACTATAGGCACAGGCAGCAGTGATAAGTGTGGCTCTGGATGTATGGACATACTGGTTTATTGCTGGAGTAAATACAAACTAGGCACAAACTGGTATGTGTGCTATGGAGAACACAGTTTGCTGCTCACCACCTTGCTGGCCTGTGCCGAGCAGAGTGAGTGCTGGGGAGGGCACAACTGTCTTCAGTCAACAGTATCCAACTTGTTTATGCTCCATCTCTCTCTTACTGGGCTTTTGCTTCCCAATGGCAACACTGACTGTGTCTGACTGTATTTCTATGTCCTTGGCTTGCAAGCCTGCAAGTAAAACTGGCTTTTGAGCTTGTCCCTTGTTCAGGCCTGTATCAGTCACGCTTCATTTCCACTGCCTGGCATCTCTTTGTTCACAGCTCCCCATCTCTGCCCAAATTGATGTCTCTGGGTCTGGATGCAGGGAGGATAAATGAGTGCAGTCCTCGTTTGAGCCAAGTGGAGCTACCTACAGAGCATGGCATAGCCTCAGCTGTAGTTAAGCCCAGAGGAACAGCCCTTTCCTTGTGCTTTCCTTGCTGAGTGACGGGCACACCTTCCCACAGTCAGTGTGAGCTGATGCAGGACTTGTGCTCACCCCAGCGGGCTGTGTTATGTCCCAGGAAGGACAATCCTTGGGAATTTGAAGTCAAGAGAATGTGAATTCGTGATTCTTTATAGTCAGAAAAGGTTTCTGGGATTGTCAGGGATGGGGAGATGCATTCTGGACTTTTTTGTTTCTTTTTAGAGGTAAGGAAGCTGAGGCATGAGACAGCTTGAGAGAGCTGGTACAAGTTGGTAGTTGAGCTGGGAATTAAGTGCATGGGTTCAATGCATTTTCCAGCTCCTTTTTACATAGGAACTAACATGGTGCAGCTAAGGTGTGGTATTGAAATGGTGCAAGCCCCTTCCTAAGCCTGTTCTGTCATGGAACTGTTCAGGTTATTCACCCCATTGCTGTGGCCTCTTCACTTTCTAACCTTTTACATTTCCAATTGTCTCTCCTAGATGATCAGCTAAACTCAGAAGAGAAGAAGAAAAGAAAGCAGAGAAGGAACAGGACTACCTTCAACAGCAGCCAGCTCCAGGCACTAGAGAGGGTCTTTGAGAGGACACACTACCCTGATGCCTTTGTACGGGAAGACCTTGCACGCAGAGTCAACCTCACCGAAGCCAGAGTTCAGGTAATCACCACAGCTGGCATCCAGACACACCTCACCTGTGGGGGTCATCAGGCCGTCCCAGTACAGCAGTAGAAGTCCTTGAGGTCTGTGTGGCACACTAGGGTCACCACACTTCTGGATGATGCTGTATTGCGGTCCCAAGCACGCCAAGCCTTTTAGGAGGACTGCCAGGCCTGATCTGCCACCTGCCCAGTCAGATGTGTTGATGTGGTTAATTCAAGGCCAAGATGTTGGATGTCCTGTGCTCAACCTGCTCGTGTTATCTTGAGCTGCTCAGCTCTTAGTTTCCAAGCTTGCATCTTCTGAAGCTCGCAGCAAACCATAGAACGTGATGTGTTCTACAACACTTCCAGGCCTTGCTGCCTCCTGCACATGCCAGACATGATCCCACAGGGACCTCACTGAGCCAGTTCCTTGCAGGAAGGGCTCTGTCAGGGCAAACATAAGGATAGTCTTGTCATTAGCATTCCCAGTGACAGGCGTGTCACAGCAGCCTGCTTTTACCGCCTCCTGTTGTTCCCAGCAGCGCAGAGGTGGTGAGTGTCCCAGCAGAGCTGGTTGTGATGATTGGTGGGTCTCTGTGCTTCCCGCCCCAGGTGTGGTTCCAGAACCGCAGAGCCAAGTTCCGCCGGAACGAGAGGGCGATGCTGGCCAGCAAGAATGCCTCTCTGCTCAAATCCTACTCAGGGGACGTGACCGCCGTGGAGCAGCCCATCGTACCTCGCCCAGCTCCGCGACCCACCGACTATCTCTCCTGGGGCACCGCCTCCCCTTACAGGTGGGTGAGTTACTCCTCTGGGGCTGACCAGTGTCACAGAGCAGCCTGAGTGCCCCTCGGGCAGGTCTGAAATGCTATTTATATTCACATGGGACACCAGGAGGACACAGCAGTTTGACCACCCTGCCTGGTTTTCTTGTTCCCGTCTCACCCCGTCTCACTGCCAGGTTTGCAAGGTGGGCTTGGTTCAGCATCATTGGTGGCTTTCTGGCAGCAAGCTCCATGGGAGTTGCAGCTGCTTTTTTGCTGGTCACCACGGTAGAAATCCATGGAAACCGAAGGGTTGCACTTGCTTCCCTAGTGCATCCAGTATGAAGCAAAGTAGAAGCCTTTCCATGGGACATAGACCTGTGGGAAATGATGGCAAGAGCACCTGGGGAGGCTCAGCCACCACACAGTGTCCAGAAGAGAGTTCTGTGTCTGTCTCATGACAGTCACTGGTTGGGATACAAGGAAGGGCTGGGAATTCACTCCATGAATGTTGCTTCCAGTCCTCCCCTCAATGATCAGCACTGAACTGGTGAGCAGTTTCTCTGTAGTTGCTAGAACACAGATGTGTGACAGCCAGCTGTTCATTGTGCTGTGCTTTGCCCACAGTAAGGACCAGGTGTTTCTGGGTGGCAAGACTGGTGTTCAGTGTCCATCTCCTGTGGCCAGTGCTGCTTAAGGGGTAGCAGGAAAAAAGTGCAGATGTGGCAGCCCCAGTCTGCTCAAAGGATCTGGAATGTCCATGCATATCACAGGCTTCCCTGTCCTTCTCCATGCCATCCACACCCAACAGGAACTGGGTGTGGACACAAGATCCACAGGATGTCTTGGTTTGTGGGGAGCCAGCTGGCTTGTAGGCAGTGAAAAATGAGGTTGGTGGATATTTTTTAGCACAGTGGCTTCATTGTTGGTCAGGACCTTGGAGCCTTTGGTTGGATTTCTTCCTGTTCATCTGACTTGGTCACAGCCAGCTTCCCACTGGCTTCTGGGAGGCACACCATGCTCAGGACCTCTCGTCCTCAGTCACCTTGACTACCTTCTTGTACCCCAAACTTTGTTTGCACAGTTAGGTCTGCAAAGATGAGCAACAAATCATAGGTTCACCCACTCCAGGTACTGAAAAGGATGCTTTTGATGACCAACAGTTTGGTTTCGTAGAGACAACCTTCATCCTTTGGGTTTTATTTGAGGACTGCTGTCTGGCACAATTCCCCATTTGGGTCTAAGGTTTTCTCTCTGTGAAGTGCTCCTTGGTGTAGCATCCTAGGGAGGAGTCTGGGTAGTGAGTTCAGAGGAGAGAAGCACAGGTCCTTCCAAGCCCCACTGAGACTGCTCTGGTCACGCTACCAGATCCCCACTGAACATTCGTGCCCTATTTCTACCTCTCACACTTTTAAAAATAGATTGTCCCTTCGAAGGTGTTGTTTACACAAGGGGCTTCATAACAGCTTCTAGGAGAAGACCCTGCAAAGGTAAATTCCAGGGGCACAATGGAAAGGGCAGTCTGGGGCTGCTCTGGGCAATGAGAAGCCCAAGGCATCTGGGATGTGCAAATGAGTAGAACAAGGGAGAAGGGAAAGCCTTAGGGATGTTTTTTCTCCCCCTGTGGTCCAGACCTGGCTTGGCCTCTCCACGGGGCAGAGGTGCATCCTCACTGTCTTGGTATCTTCCCCTTGTCTTAAGCCAAGATGGTTCAACAAAGACATTTGCAGCTTACAGCAATCCCCACTGGCTGACATGCCTAACCAGGACAGACTGTCACCCTCCCACTACCCAGCAGAGGGGTGGAAGGCATCAGCAGAGGAGCATCACATCTGGTTTCTACAATGTGGGGAACTCAGGAGCCTCAGATGCTTCATGCTCTTCAGGCTTACTAATCCTGCTGGGCATCCCTCAGCAGTCACATTCATCTTGGTGGGCACCTGGGCCAGATTGTCACAGCCTCATTAAATCTTTGAACTGAGTAGGGTTATTGAAGTATTGGACACTTGGTGAAAAAGAGCCATGGAGGGTGTTTGCATGGCCCTCTGCCCCCTCCCCATCTCCCCTGATGAATGGCTGGTCTGGGAGAGGACTGAGAGTGGTGTGGCTGGTGCTGCTTGGACTCTTAGATCTGGGGAAAGTTTTCAATCAGTGTGTTTATTCTCCAAATACATTCAGCCACAGGTCAACCCAAGCTATTTGCAGCTCTGTGTCGCATAGATAGCCAAGTAGATACTGTTATTTTTTTTGAAGTTGAAATGTTTTGCTTTGACATTTTTAGCATAGGTTCCTAAGAAAACAAGACTGGCAGTCACGCTGTCAGTCACACTTCCCACTCCAACCACCTCTGACTTCACGGGCCATTGAAAACAGTATTTGAAAGAAGGATTTTAGGCCTCAGAAACATGATGTTCCTCTGTGTTTTGTGAAAGCAGGCAGCTGAGTAGAGGAAGGGGACTCTCTGTGCCTGAATGGGGCAGAGGGAAGGGGCAGCAAGATGGCTTCAACCCTTATTACACCCTGGAGAGTCTCTGAAGCAGACCTCAAGCTGTGCCTGTGCTTGGAGGCAGCCTTATGCACTGCTCCTTGTTTGCTAAAAAAGAGGATTTCTTTTGGTTTTTGGTTTAGCAGAGATTTCACTGGTCAACAGGCTTCCCCACACCTCTGGGTAGCTGAGAGCAGGAGGCTCCCCAAATTTTCAGACCAGACTTGGGCAGCAGTGTGGTTTTCAATGAGGACATTTTACACCTGAGACTAAAATTCCTGTTTTATCTAATCTAGAGTATCCTTGAGGCTCTTCTGATTTCTTCCAGCACAAAAATATAGGGGAGATGCACTCTGTGGAAGCGGGGTGGGAACGGGTGCTAACGTAGCCACCAGCTGTACACCTTGTGAAACTTTGCAACATCTCTGCAGGCAGCATGTGGCTTCTCAGTGCTTCTGACTCGTGGGGGAGCAGAGGGTAAAGTCACCAACCAGCCATGGAGAGGGAGCTGGGGGGGTGCACAGCCAGCTGGGGAAGGCTCCAGGCACAGCAGTCCATCATGTCCTGGACCCCAGTGAAGTGCAGCTGATGGACCCTGAGTTGGGCAGAGTTGAGCCTGTATTTTGATAGTTGTATTTGAATGTCCATCCTCAGGGTCCTTCCAGTAGCTGTTAAGAGATTCTCAAAGTGTCTTGAATGAGTACTCTCCTGGGGAGAGTATTTGGTGCTTTTCCCTGGCTGGGTGTAAGCAGCTTTATATTTATGGGTCTTACATGTCCTTTCCATGTGTGTAAGCTGTTGTGTTTCCACCAGTCCTGATGCAAAGATGACAGTTCCTCCCTGAAGAAGTTATTTTCCCTAGTTTTAAAGTGAGAAATAGGAGTCAATTGGTCTGGGATGAGACCTACCAGTATCACCTGGTCTGGATCTCCAGGAGGCTGAGAATTCAGGTAGCCCTGGATTGCACTGAAACTTTTGGCAGGTCAGCTCTGCCCTCTGAAGTCAGAGATATTTGGGGCAAACATGCACCCCCCTTGGCCTAGGTCTGTTTGGGCACTTACCTCAGGGGAGGTTTGCTGTTCCAAAGGTTCTTCCAGTTGTGGAGGTCAGCACTGAAATAAAATTTAAAAAAAGAGAGAAAGGAAAAGAAAAAAAGGAAAAAAAACAGGTATCTTCTTTCTTGGGCTGTGGCCTGAGGAGAATCTTTCCCAGAGCCTCACGTGTGAGCCACCCAGGCAGGCAGATGGAAGGGGTCAGCACCAGACCTGAGCTTGTCTCCAAGAGAGCATTTGTGGTTTCCTCCTGAACTCCCTGGCTGCATTAAGTGGGCATCTCGAGTTCACCTGGTTGTTTTCAGCTTGTTTTGATCTGCTGATCCATGTGCAGGAAATGTAACAGGTCAGATTGGTTGTTGATTTTTGGGGTAGGGGGACGTTGCTTTTCACAGACCCTGGGACACATGGATTAAACAAGTTTTCTAGAGGCCTGAAAAGCAGATTTGCAAAATTTTGGTAGGGTAAGAAAGGACTCTGAGATCTTTGTTCAGTTTCTGCTGCCAAAAGTGATGTTTTTCATTAATAAAGTCATGATTTGAAGGGAGAAGAAAAAAAAAAAGTGTTGTGCTTTTTTTCCCCCTCAGGCTTTAAGGCATGATCTTTATGATCAGCTGAAGTTTTGAGGGAAGAAAATGTGGAAATCTCATTCCAAAAAGCTGAAACCAAAAAGCAGCATAATTGTTGAAATGGGTTTTTCCCAGAGTGTTGCTTTAATGTAACATGTTTCAGAAGTGACGTGATTTCACAAGCAATAAAACCAGCAATTGCTCTCAGCAAAAGACATTGCTTCCAGTGGGAATGCTTTTGAGGACAGTGGTCTGACTGGCAGTTTGGGCACCCTGACCTCATTTTAAACCTTCTGGCTTAGAAAGTAGGAAATGGAAATTTTCCTGTTGACATCAGCCAGCTTTGGCATTGGCCATCCCTGGGCAATGGAACTGCCACAGATTTACAGGGGTGTTAAGTAAAAAGTAGTTGTAATTCCCTGTTCATATGAGAAATACGTCCCACAGGAATGGAAATCCCAGGGTTTAACCTGTCTGCTCCTCTGTGTGGTGTGAAGACCATGTCTGACCTGAGGTTTCTCTCTTTCCATCCCACAGTGCCATGGCCACCTACTCTGCCACGTGTACCAACGCCAGCCCAGCACAGGGCATGAATATGGCCAACAGTATTGCCAACCTGAGACTGAAGGCAAAGGAATATAGTTTACAGAGGAATCAAGTGCCCACAGTTAATTAACAACTGGGGGCAGCTGCCTTGCAGAAGGAGAAGATACAGCAGCACCCATCCTGCTTTGCAACTTGTTTGCTGAAAAAAAACCACGACATGAAAAAACCCAAAACACAAAAAAAAATCCCAAACCAAAAAAAAAAACACAAAAAAAAAGGAAAAAAAGAAAAAAAAAAAGAAAAAAGAAAGAAAGAAAAAAGCCAACCCTAACCCAGAACTGAGCATGGAGACCAAACTGGGAGCAAACTGAACCCCTCATGAGTGACAAGGTTCCTTCTTCCTTTTGGGATAATGCCACCATTATTTTTTTCTTGTTATTGTCAGGTTTATTGCTTCTGCTCAATATACTACGAGCTTCTTCAGCAAAGGACAGTCTCACCCTTGTTGGTTTCCGTTTTTGTATGGGACTGCAAAAAGAAACCTCTGCCAATCTCAGCCCGTGGGCATGTCCCACCCACCACCATGCTGAGATGCAAAGCTTGCTCCTCTCTCCCCTGCCCCAGCTCACCCTAGAAGAAGAAGAAGCTGTTCCATCACTGCTTTCCATGGTATCCACCTGACCCTTCATCCCTCCAGTCCCTTGTGCCACAGAGGCAGCACCATTACCATTAGTCTGCTAGAAGCTTGTTAGTGCAAGGAGATGAGATTGTCCTGCCCAGGTTGCCTGGACCAGAGATGTGAGGAAGATCTCAGGCTTCACAGCACTTTGTTGCTTTCTTGAGTATTCCCAGCACTGCTGCCTTGAAAAGCCAAAGAAGAGAGAAAAGCCAACGTGGGTGTGTGAGTGGGGGGAAGCAGGGGGGGAATTGCTCTGTAGTGCCAAGAACAGGACTGTTAGGACACTCCTTTCTATGCCTTACAGTTTGTGCCACAGGGAAAGGCATTGTCCTGATGCATTTGTTTTATATATACTGTATATATTTATATATATAAGATATACATGCAAGCTTGGTTGGTGTTTTTTATTAAACAAAATAAAATCCATTGAAAATGTTTGGGTGTTTGTGCTGCATCCAGGTTCCTGGAGCCGTGCATGGAAATTCCAGCTGCAGCCTCCCTCACCCTTGTCAGAGCTTTTCCCCAAAGCCTCCAGCAGCACCTGAGGTGACCAGCTCACCTCTGCCCCTGAGAAACCCCCGAGAGGTGGCTCTGCAGGGAGCCATGCTCCTTTGCTGATTTTCCTCGTAAACATTTGCAGCTTCACACAATAAGACAGGAATCTCCTCTCCAATCAGATAGGTTCATGTGGTTCCTGGGAATACGCAGGGACATTCCCATGGGAAGTCTCTGCCAGCCCCTCTGAGGACAGGTGATGTCTCAGTGGAAGGCATCCCAAGTGAAGACCATGTCTTCTTCAGTTCCCATAGCGCTGCAGTAAGACTTGTCCCGTAGCCTTAACCACTCTCCTTTGCTCTCTCTACCTGCTGTCTTCCCTCTGGGCTCTAGAGAGCTAATGAAGACCTAATTTCCTTCTCTCCATGAAGAGAAAATGCAACTCAAAAGAGGTTTCTTCCATGCAAGCATCCTGAGGAAATTACCATCTTTGGTGTTGCTAATGGTGCCTGCCTCTCAGATCCAGGGGGAGAAGGGGGCTTATTTATGGCAAATAGTGCTTGGACAGGATACTTGCCTAATCTGAGTGGGACTTTGCCATGGAATAGTCCCACTGAAGGTAGCAGAGCTACTGCATAGTCCAGGCTGGACCATGAGGGAAGAAGAATGAAGCTTGGCCAGAAGGGACATTTCTGGTAGCGGTGTAGGTCTCCCTCCTGGTGTTTGCTGCAGACACACTGGGTATATGTAGATGTCTGACAGTGGGCTTTGATAGTCTGAAATGGTGTGTTGCAGGAAATGAGAAATAAATCTCTTAAAAGTTGAGGTGAAAATTAAACTGGCAGAGGATGAATGGAAATCCAGCCAAAGTATTTGAGCTAACACTGGGGAAAAAGCCCCACATCCAAGCTGGTGTACCTTGTGCTCATGATTGTGTGTGTTGCTGCTGGAATTTGTTCTCCCTGTATGGATCGTTTTGAGGAAGAAGAATGTAACTGTACTCAGGACAAAAAGCTGAAAGTGACAGGTCACACTTGCAGACAGAACACCAGCAAGGGAAGCAAGGCTGGACAAGCACTGCTTTTTAAGAAGTCAAAAACATTGTGTTTGATCCCTTGTTTTAGTATTTTTTTTCTGTAGTCTGGAGAAGATAAGTCTCCAAACCAAAATATTTCTATCATGAAATACCAAATATTTCTATCGTGATTTCTATCACATCATGAGTAGTGTGGTTCCAGCTCCTAGAGCCAAGTGACCACATTGGAAATCTCAGCCTCCACTTAGAAACTCACTTTTGGTTCCTGTGCCTACACAAATGGAGAAACTATTGAAGAGCACGTCCTGCACAAAAAGATCCAGTTCAATGTAATGTTACTCAGGTTGAGCTAGTCGTTGAGTGCCTTATCTTGGGGCTTTCCCCTCTGCTTGCCTTGCTGTCCTCCTCCATGATCCACCAACTTAACCTCATCAGAGACAGCCACTTGATCACACAAATCTGTGGTGGCCTGAGGCTGCCCTGGAGGTTTCAGCTGTTCCCTTCAGCATCTTGGTGGCCTGTGTCTTTCCCCTAGTCTTTACTCACCTTTCCTGCCATAGAAGCACCTTGAGCAGCTTTCTTTGGTGCCTGTGGACAGACACCCTATCCTGAAGCCAGCAAGGACACAGTCCAGAGAGCATGAACCTCCTGGTACCACATTATCCGTCTGTGGACCGAGATACCCATCCCTACTCCTGCTCTGTGATGTTTTCATGGAGGGGCTCACATAAATGCCTGTGCAAACCCTTGTTCACCCTCCTCACTTCATTCCTGAGAGGAATTACATTGGCTGGCATGGAGCTGCTCCTGTGGGAAGGCTGTGGAAGCTTTTGAGCTTCCAGCTTTGGTCAGGGTCTGGCCCTGGGTTGGGCTGTTTGCTTGGAGATGCCATCACCGCTGATCGGGCTGTTGTCAGTCCAGATGAGACCTTTACGTCACCTTTGAGCTGGCTGACATCAAGATGTAAAGCAGAGCATCCAAGACAACGTTGCTTCGTTTACATGGATGTGCTAAATGGAGTCCAGCTGGACAAATGGTTGGGGTTTGCTGTTTGTTTCTTAATTGCTGATGACCTCAGCCAACAGGCAGCATCTCCTTGCCTGCCAAACCAAAGCAAAATGTTATGTTGATGTATGTTTCATCTGTATTTTATTGAACCATGTAAATACATGTGCAAATGAAGGGCCTTATCCTGAAACTGTGGAGTTCTCCAGGGTTTTAGTAGCCTTCTGGTCACAGCTCCCAGGAAGTTGCTGAGGTTACCCCAGTTATCACTAATATTGGGTGCCATTCAGGGGAGAAAATGGTCTTGCAGCACATTCCCCTTGTCTGCTCTGAATGAATGCTGATTTCTCAGTCCCCCCTTTCCTCAAGACAGAATGAGGTGGCTGATCCTCTCCAAGTGGGATTTTTGAGCATGACAGGGATGACTGATTGATGAGGCTGGCGGAGCCTGATGCGTGAAGCTGCAGGAGGGATTCCCAGATGGAAGTGTATCCTATAAATTATCTCTCGCTTTGTGGTGTAAATTGTACAGTGTTTGCACTAGAATAGAAATGATAATTTTCAATAAAAGGGGGAAAAGACTCCCCAGTACTTTCTGTAAGCTGCCATGTCTGTGTCATGTATTGCTGCCCTGAGTTGGCTGGGGCTGAGGACACACTGGAGCCCTTGGAGGGGAAAAAGCAGGACTGAGGCCAGCAGAGCAGGGCTTGGGGCTGTTCCAGCACGCTTATCCTGGGAATGCCATGCAGCTGATTAGTGGACAGCAGGGAGGAGGGAAAGCCACAAATTAGGAGAAGGGTTGAATCCCACCACCTGGGCAGGGGGCAAAAAGGATTGGGCTCAGGAGGGAAAGCACTTCACTGCAAAGCAAGGGAGATGGTCAGAGGGGGTTCAGAGGCTAACGAGGGCTAATTAGTACAGTAGGCTATTAAAGTAGGTAGGTAGTGGGGAGGAGCTTTTGCCAGAGGAAGAAACCAAGCTGAGCTGGAGCTGGTGAGTTGTGCTTTGGAGAGCAGGTCTCCACTGGGGGATGATACCGGAGTGAAGGGGGGAGGGGATGTTGAGGGTCTGGTGCTGGAGGGTTTCTGTGATTTCCCTTCTTGGTTGTTAAGTGATTCATTCCAATTTGAGACAAACATTGGGAATCCTGAGCATGTCTGGGTTGGCTTCCTCTTTTCCTTCTGAGCTGGTCTCTGACCCTCCATGGGCACTGTATGTTCAGGTTAAACAGGCAAGGAGCAGTTAAATTTCAGCAGCCCAGCCCACAGATAGATTCTGTTAAGAGGACCTGAATATGTCTGCAAATCCCTGAGCAGTCAGCCAAACTTGCATTCCTTGCAAAGCTGATTATTCACCTCTCTGAAGCTGAAATAATAACAGTATCAGCCTCTTTCTTATTATTTTCTGATTGCCAAAAGAAGTAGACTTGCAAATAGCTTAGCTTCCAAGTTGTTTTTTGAGACTGGAGTGGTTTAGACTGAATTGAAACAAGCCTCAGATGTCCATCCAGGCCTGCTGCTGGCTCACCTCAGCTCCCTTTAGGCAATTATCCATCTCCCCTCCTGGCACTGCTGTGCTGTAGCTCCTCACCTGATGGCTGCCAGACACCAATGCAGGAGAAGTTAGCACTCCACAGAGCTCCAGCTTCCAGTTTGGCCTGGATTTTTCAGAAGGACAAATAAAAGCAATGGTAGAAGCAGCGTGTGGCAGCCTCCCCACACCCAGTGGCTGCTGCATGCAGGGAGGCTGCCACACACTGCTCTTGCAGGTATCTCCTGAACATCTGACCAAACATTACACCAATATACTATTTCCCACCTCTGTGGGACTAGATATCTATTCACTTGGGCTTTATCTCTTCTAGGGAAATCCTGGCTCTGGCTTACCACTCACTGACAAGGAGTGATGCTGCTTATCTTCATCACAACTTCTCTTTGGGATCAGGAAGAGTAGATCCAGCTACTCTTACTCTGATCCCAACAGGTGTCAGATCAGTTTTCAGCTGTGAAG